AAAGGCGAGAAATGCTGTTATGGGCGGGGCTTAGGAAGCGTTTTTTGTGTTGAGTATGCTCAAGAGGAGGAACTTTGGGTGTGAAACTCTGTGACAGGGCCTATACCAACAGCAGAGTTTGAAGTAGGCAGCATTTCCCGGGCCCAGTCTTTCATTTTGTTGTACTGGGCGTATGTCATGTTGCCTACGTGATAATGGCATTCTGTCATAGGGCTGGTGAATCTAAATGCATAAATAAGGGTACCGTCAATATTTTCAGTGCCGGGTACTGTATTGTGAAGTCTATGAGAGGGAAATCACACATCGTGTGTATTCAAAATTCATCCCACTCTGGTCACGAGAAGTTGCGACAACTTCATTGTTAGTGAAATAAGTTGAATAGAAGTGTCCATAACCGCTTTGTGACAAGTATGCTGCTAGGGATGGAATGTTGAGAGATTGAGCTATTGCGAGAGACAAAGTAGCTTACTCTCTTGGTAGTAAGACATCAGTAAAGTAAATGGGATGTAGCGCATGATGGGTTATAGGTCATATCAGATTAGGCAACACAATTTGTGATCGGGGTAAATTTAAATAAAGTTCAAACACAATGAATACGGCTTCACTTAAGTCCGTCTAACTATGCCCAATTAGTCTCAAATCGGATCAGACATCTTCGAGAAAAATCAATAACTTCACCCAACCAGGGGATGTAAGATTTGCTTACAATTATGAGGGATTCATCATCGTAAGATGCCAGAGGAGACGGCATGAACGGAGGATGAGATGCACCGAGCTGCGGTCCAATGCAAAACAATGAAGGAACAAAAACGTGGACTGCATTAGTGAGTGAAAAGAATCATGTCGAAAAAAATATAACTACAAGGTTGCTGAGTGGGGCTCGAACCATGAACGTTGTGATTATCAAACCTGTGTTTTCTCCATGCTTCGGGATATCGATGAGCTAAAAGCGAATAAGAAGCGCTCATTTCCTCTCATATTCAATTTCATATGCTTTTTTCTGCAGAACGGGAATTGGAAAGAATCGGTGCAATTGTGTGCATCGTTCTACAATGCTATAAATAAATCGCTGATATTAATATGAGAGTTAACTAAAAAAACTGGAACAGGTTGCACTACAATCAACCCTTAAATATATAATTTATTTTTCTCCTTGGTGTACGAAAAAGGTAAATTTTTTTTTTTTTTTTTTTTTTCTTTATTTTAGAGATTTTTAGCCTGAGGCTAGTTCATCTCTTGAAAAAGGTAAAAGGCTTTAGTCTATTTAGCATTCCATAGGGTTTATTATATGAAAATCTTCAAGTCCTGCAGCTCATTTCTTCGAAATTCCAAGGGTTTCTTCGCCTGGAAATACTAGGTGGGGTAAAAAGTAACCTCCTTGACCGCCAGAATGCGCTGCGACTGCAAAAAAGGTTATGGTGCCTTATAGTCCGTTCATATTAAGGCAGACCTGCCAAATTTCAGTGCGATACTGTCTTTAGTTTTGTTTTGACAGCTGATTGTTGTTGACGAGTTTGGCATCATGTTGAGTATGGATAAAATCGATTTTCGTTCTCTCATAGAACATTATTTTTTGAGAGGCAAAACTGCGAAGGAAACAAAAGAAAAGTTGAACAAATATTATGGGACTAATGCTTTACACCGTCAAAAATTGGTTTCGAGAGTTTTGTGGTGGCCGCAACTCCACTACCGATCAAGTCCGCAGCGGTAGGCCCTCCGATGCCGTTACAGAGGACAATGTAAAAAAAAAAAAAAAAATGGTGTTGGCTAACCGGAAAGTGAAGGTGCGCGAGCTAGCAGATATCGCAAAGGTTAGTACTGAGCGCACACGCCATATTTTGAGCGAGATTCTGCAGATGAAAAAGTTATACTGCCGCTGGGTGCCGCCAAATATTATAAATTAACAATATGAATCACTTCCAGAATTCCCATATGTTTATGAAAAGACGCATAAGTTAAACCCTCTCCCGGTGAGAAAGGTGACTAAAAACATTCGTGTCCTTATTATTTAATCGTGTAATCAATTCATAAGTTTAGTCAAATAAAAGGTGTGGCAAACAGTATTAGCTTTCTCATGCATGTTACACACCTACTCTGACGTCATGACATTGTACTACGTTCAGACTATAGTTGATATTAATACCGTAATAACGTAATATAATATGATGTTTAAAGGGCCTAAATTATATGAGTAAAGTTTGAATCTACTATTAGAATAGAGGTGAACCAAACAAATAAAAGAAAATGCAGATTATATCTGCCATCCCTCCTTACATACCGAGGCACCATACCATTAATAGATTAACAAACACGGTAAGAAAAAAACACTCAACATGAAGTTTAAAAAAACTCAAAACTTAAAAAAATAAAAAAGAATTTTATTTTTAGTTAAAAGTACTCAACCGTCATGTTTTCACCGTTGGGAAATTTTAAAATATTTTTGGATGAAAATCATAGAAATCTACGCTGTCTTTGATGCTGTCATTTTTGTGTGCTCCATCGCCTTCATTCGTGCTTTATTATTGCAATCGATTGATCCTTAGGGTAATTTTCACTCAATGGATTATTGATCAGAATTACTCAAAATTTAGTTTTCATCATTAATTTAATTTTAGCTAGCCCCATGGAAGCCACATGATGAGTGAAAGTAAACTCAATTTTTACACTTACTTTAAAGTACCCATAGTTGGGTAAAAACTACGCATTATAAAGAAAAGTGGCTTAACTCATTAAATTAGCAATTTTTTTTACCCATTAATGAGTATCTGTTACCCATTAATGGGTAACAGTTACTCATTAATGGGTAACAGATATCATAAATGGGTAAAAAACTAATACTAGCTAAGCCACTTTTCTTCAAAATGGACCTTTTCTCACTTATTAATGGGTACTTTCAAGTTAGCGTGTTGGGTACCTCGTTTCCCAGCAACATGTGCAAAGGCATACAAGCCAAATGTAAGCAATGCATTTAAACGTCGGTGGTTCCCGAATTGCAACATGCTCACTCAAACTAACTATATCATCTGATAGAGCAAATTATCTCTCAGAAGCTGGTGTTGGTTTGCCAGATTGAGTCTATATTCACAAGAAATCAACGTTTAAAGTCATTGTTTACGTTTGGTAAATAGGCCTTTTTTACATGTTTCTCTAGTTACTAGCTTTCACATTTCGTGAAAAAAACGCTTCTTATATGCCTTAAGACTAGTCGACAGACGATTGGTGAAGACAGGCTTTATAATCACAACGTTCAAGGTTCGAGCCCAGTCTGTTTCCTTTTTTTATTTTTTTGAACATCATTCATTCCTTCCAACCATCAAGTAATTTCTACCCATCCAAGCGCTTTGTTGCGAGTACTTAAAATTAATTATATGATTTGAGTAGTAGCTTTACTGAAGATCCGAGAGATGTCACCCCTTCATTGGTAGGAAAATCATTTTTGCAGTATGGAGAATATAAAAAAATCCAATATTTGTTACTAAACATGCTTTCACAGAAGGAAACAAATTAACGAGTTTTTACCTTATCAATATAATAATGTACTCGTGCAATTTTTGTGCATCTAAAACTGCTCATAAAGACGATAATGAATAAAAACTGAAATTTTCATGCATTTTCAAATGGTTTCCTATCATTCCCATACATACGAAAGTGACTGGCCCTCTGGATGTGGATGATGTCAAAAAGAACAAAACATGATTAATTGAGTACATGGGTCTTTACTTTTTTTTTGGCTTCCCACTCTTTAGTACCGAGTTGGGTGAAATAAACATTTTTTCCTTGATTTGTTCTCCGTACTGAGTACCAATGCTACCGACGCCAGGGAAGCAGCTCCCACACCCACCCTTCGTGATAAGAGATTTTATACCTCAGGAAATCCCGACGGCGCTTGAGATATAAACTTAATATTGGGTATTTTTTTCTTATCGTGTGAGAATTTTTTTTTACTCAACTGTGAGTTGTTTTTGATAGCCTTGTTATGCTCAATTTACAGTGTACTAGTCACCTTTCGCCTCACTAGAGCCGCTAGTGTCGGGAAAAATCGTCTCTTGGGGATAATAGAAGAGTGAACCATATTGTTAATTTATAATATTTGGTGCCACGCAAGGTCACTCCTTACCAAAAACACGAACGCGAGAGCTCTTCGAAAGAGTGTTGCTGATGTGGAATCGGGTGGACTTTTGGCGTCAATTGGTAACTGTTGATGAAACCTGGATCCACTATTACACCCTAGAGAACAGAATTAATGCCTGGCAATTACCATAGAGGTAACTCTTAGACTAGTAGGTCCCGAAGAAACGTGCTCAGATTTTTGGCTCAACTCAGGTACCATCTTCGGTACCAAGCTAATCGATTCACCCCTCGAAACATAGGAAAATCCACTAACCCCTCATTTTATCTGTCAAACCTTCATAGCGAATCAAAACAAACATTGTGTAGTACTAGAATTTCGACTAGAATGGGGTACGTTCATCGATTTGCTTGAGACCAATAGTTTGTCTGTGCCAATAGGCTCAAGTAGTGAGCCAATTTAAAATCGATAGTTTCGTATTGATTGTTGGTATTATTGTGCATTATTGGAGAGAATGAAGGCCGAAATCGCTGCAAAACGGCCTCACATAAAGCAAAAAAAAAATTTGATGGGTCGATAGGTATAGACCTTAGTGTTATGTGGCATTTCCAAAACCTTTACCATTTGAATGAAATTTTTCCCTTCATTTTGAGACTACTGAAATTCTTGATCAGGGAATCTTCAACAATTTATAATTAGATATTTTTCATTCTAAATAAGAAAAATTACAAAGAAGTTGAAAAATTTCTCCCGATGATACAATGAAGGAGCAGCCTATAAAAAAGGTGAAGGTATGTGGTTATATAAATTTTTGTTTTCTTTTTAATGCTATTATAACAAAAAACCATGCGTATCCTTTGCAGTTCTTGTTATGTTTTGTCGAATTATTTTGGTTTCTTCATTATTCTTTTTATCTTATTATTCGATTCAGATTCAATCCAGACGATCCATGTGAACACTATCTTTTGAAATGCTGTGCTGTCCCAGATGGTGAAGATGGTGACATTATAGAGCCCCCTGCAACTGGGGATACGGAATTTATTGAGCCATTACCTTCTGGTCCACAATCCGAAAATCTAGTGGGTTCAAATTCAGGATCATCAGGACCGACAACATCATCAGGATCGTCAGGATCAACAGGATCGTCAGGATCGGCAGGATCGTCAGGATCGGCAGGATCTTCAGGTTCGGGAGTATCGTCAGGACCATCTGGATCATCAGAAGGACAGCTTCCAGTTCATGGTCGTGAGCAGGAGGGAGTAATAGAAAATCCCGGTAATTATCTCGGTGGTAGTTATGCACACGGTGGTGGTAGTTTTAGTGGCACTTTTTCTCAAAGTAGTAGTAGCAGTAGCAGTAGCAGTAGCAGTAGCAGTAGTAGTAGCAGTCAAAACTACCAACAGCAATGGACTGGTCCGCAAAGACCATTTGGAATGGGTGTTGGTGGTGGTGGTTCTAATATAGGTGGTTCATCTGGATATGGTACAGGTCACCCGGGATCCATAGGATACAATACCGGTCATCCGGGAATCAAAGGTCAAGAATCAGGGCAAACGAGCACTGTAGGACACGGCACAGCTCAAGCAGGACACGGTACAAGTCAATCGGGAATCAAAGAACAAGGTACAGGACAAACAGGACAAGGAACAGGTGAAATTGGATCTCTAGGACAGGGAGGGGGGAAACCGGGTTCGTCAGGACAAGGAATAGGACAAACGGTAGCTGTAGGAGATGGCATAGTACAAACGGGGCATGGCACATCGCAACCAGGATCTGTAGGAATCGGCACTGGACAAACAGAGCATGGCACAGGGAAAAGTGAATCAATGGGACATACTATAAGTCAAACAGGTACTACTGCCGCAGGCTCGCTAGTGTCTCAGCATGAAACATCGGGGTACAACCGAACCGCATTATCTTCTGGAACCATGCATGGTTCAACAGGAGGAACTGTAAGCTCAGAAAACGCTGGGTTATTAGGCGGCAGTTCAGCTGGAGGTTATGACAATACTGCAACGCATAACCTAGAAGGTTCAAATATGTTTGCGGGAGATTTGCACGGTGGCACTGCTGGTGCGAGTGGAACTCACACTGGAGGTCACTCTGTACAAGGGCAGATAACTGGAAACCATGCGGGAGAATCCACGCACCAAACAGAACAGTTTGAACATGTAAGTTCAACTAACGTATCTGGTGGCCAAACAGGAGCTTATCAAGCTGTTGGTTCTGAACAGCATGGTGCTGAAAATGCAATGTACGGAACAGGTAATATAGTACATGGTGTAGGCACAGTCACTAAAGATCAAACTATGGATACATCAAACGTGAATGCTGGAAGCTCGAATAATTCTGGTACCTCACAGCAAGGACAAGCATCATTGAATCAATACCAAGATAACAGCTCAACTGCCAGTCATACCTCCCAAAACACTCAAAGTACAAATAATGTTGAATCAAATCAAGGGCATGGACAAAGCCATTCAGGCCAAACAGGAGCTTATCAAGCTGTTGGTTCTGGACAGCATGGTGCTGAAAATACAATGCACGGAACAGGCACAGTCACTAAAGATCAAACTATGGATTCGTCAAACGTGAATGCTGGAAGCTCGTATAATTCTGGTACCTCACAGCAAGGACAAGCATCATTGAATCATCATTACCAAGATAACAGCTCAACTGCCAGTCATACCTCCCAAAACACTCAGAGTGCAAATAATGTTGGATTAAATCAAGGGCATGGGCAAGGCCACTCAGGTTCTAACACTGTGAATCATTACGAAGGTGATGGATGTACTAGTCACACTCAAAAACACTCCACACACAAACAACACCATGGACATGTTGAAGGCAATCAACAAACACATAACAGCTACGGTAGTGGTTACAATAATATGTATTATGCTGGTTAGTACTGCTTGGATATTTGTTGCATGAGCATGTCTTCAAAAATGGGTATTGGTTTATCAATTCTCTTCAAATTACACTACATACCTATATTTATGTTACATTCAAAAGGTACCACAGTCAATCCGATTTTACCTCCTCATGAAAACGTGGGATGTGGTTTCCGCAATCCGGATGGAGTTGGCTTCCGTATCACAGGAAACTCGGATGGCGAAGCGGAGTATGGAGAATTCCCCTGGATGGTAGCAATTTTGAAGGAGGAAAAAGCTTTGGATCAGGTCATCAACGTATACCAATGCGGTGGTTCATTGATTCATCCGCGAGTAGTTTTGACGGCTGCTCATTGTGTCCAAAATAAGCAACCCCACGAAATCAAGGTTCGCCTGGGTGAATGGGACACACAGACAACTAATGAAATCCATGACCATCAGGTAATAAAGGTTTATTTTTTACTGTCAATCTGGTACTAATAACAAGTTTATTTTCAGGATCGCAATGTCGCTGAAATCGTTGTTCACGATAAATTTTACAAAGGAGGGCTATTTAATGACTTTGCCTTACTATTCTTAGACAAGCCAGTCGAGATTATTGATACAGTCAACACAGTTTGTCTACCGCCTCAAGATTTCAATTTTGACCTCAGTCGTTGTTTTGCCTCTGGTTGGGGTAAGGATGTGTTTGGAAAGGAAGGCAAGTATCAAGTCATTTTAAAGAAGATCGAGCTTCCCGTTATGCCGTTCAATAAATGTCAAGATGCTCTCCGGACAACTCGTTTGGGTAAAAGATTCATCCTCAATAAGAGTTTCATTTGCGCTGGAGGTGAACCTAAAAAGGATACGTGCAAGGGAGATGGTGGATCCCCGCTAGTGTGCCCGATTCCTGGATCGCCAAATCGCTTCTATCAGGCAGGAATTGTCGCATGGGGTATTGGATGCGGTGAACATGGAATTCCTGGCGTCTACGCAAATGTAGCTGGATTCAGAACCTGGATCGATGGACATCTGACTCAGCGCAGCATTCCTCACGATTACTATATTGCTGTTTGAGACTGAGAAAATTGTACAGAAATATATGTTTGGTACGAATTATTTTCGGATAGGTATTGTTTGGTATTTATTTTTCGAATTTCATGTGTCGACTTATGATCAAGGAACCATAAATATCTAAAAATAACAAAATGACAAGCGATAAACGAGTCGAACGATAACGTGTTGTCAGAAATGGAAAACAATAATGATATGATCTTCTTTCTTTTTTTTCGTGACAACCAGTCTCTGCAACACATATGGCATATTCTTACAAATTTCCTTTTAAATTTTTATATATTTGCGATGTCATTCATAAACGGTCAAGTAAATCACGTTATGATTCTAAATTGAACTTTTCTGAGAGTTATTCAGATCTTTGGTACTTACAAAATTCAGCACGTAGATCAAACTTGCTCAGTAGCCGCAATACAAATATTTTTTTTTATAACACCCTTAGGGTAACGCTCTTAAAGTTGCGGTACAGTAGAAGTGTTAGTATCTTATAAGCAATATATAGGAACCTAATGCTTTCTAACGTAGCGCAACTATAGAAGCATTTACCAGAGCTTTCATTTGGAGGGTGAGTACACAGGTTTTTAGATAATGTGTTATTTTGGGACACTCTAATAATTGCTGTAAAGTACGAAATTGGTCGATTTGTACCAAAAGTGCTTCTGAACGTGTTTCGCAGTTGGGGGTGGTGAAATTCGTGAATTCGCGGTTTATGGTCAGTGAAAATTCCGTGTCACAAAATTGCTCACCGAGTTTCCTTTTTTTGCCGTTCGACGACGACGGGTTTGCGAGAGAAAAATAAGCATCGGGAATTTGCTCCCGGATGTATTGATTTGGTGAGTACGTTCCAGTTGAAGATTGTTCTTATACATATCTCGATTGCATTTTCGAGGGGACGTTCGGAGAGCTTTGAGATTTAGGCGTTGTTGCATTTGCGGGCAGATGAGTTGGTCGCCGGTAAGGGCCAGCACGTGCTGCCAGCAGATGAATCAAGAGGTATTCGAAACAAAATTGATAAGAAATGTCCATTCAAATCGATTTAATACAGTTGAACAAATTTCAAAACTATATACGTGCCAGATTTGGAAATAATATCTTTTGAATCTGGAAGTGTGTTTATGATACCATTATCCATTTGATAAAAGTAGAGTGAACATGCGAGGCTTATTGTAAGTAAAAGTGACCTCGGAGTGGTCGTGAATTACCAGGCATTCTGAAATGGGTCACTGGAGCTGCAATAGAGCTAACACCTTCTAACTCCCGGACTAAACCTGCTTTAATTTAAGGGTAATAAAAAGCAGTTTTCTTCCATAATAACACTGCCGGACAGTGGGGGTTAGATTGTACACACACACACACACGCACACACACACACACACTCTAATAATTGCTGTAAAGTACGCATTTTTTATGAAAAATATTAACACCCATTATATGAGTAAAATTCTACCAATTTATGAGTAATTGTTAGTGCTAAAATTAATAGCAGTTTACATAGTTGTAGATGCTTAACATCAAATATCAGACTTAAAATGGTCTGTGGGCGGAGATATCTCTCACCATTCCTTCTCAACAGGGGAGTTTGCTAAAGGATATGATCGTGCCTTCTTCAAAATTGACCTTTGCTCACTTTCTACTCTCTATATACAATTTTCACACTGTCGTACTCTTACGGAACTATCAACTCTATACTATCATCTCCTCATCTATCGGTAAAATACCACTTTAAGTCTGATATTTGATGTTAAGCATATCCAACTATGTAAATCACTAACTAAGTAATACAAACACAATTAGTTAAAGTAGTAGCAGTTATTCATTTGTGAGTAACAGATGCTTTACTAATCGATATTTTTTTTACTTATTTAATAGGTAGTTCCATTTACCTTCGAATAAGCGTACTTTATTCTACAGTCAGAGAATTTTGCGGTTACCGTTTGTTTGGTTTGTTCTTGGTCCAAGAAATCAAAAATATCTCAAAATGACAAAATGACAAGCGATCCACGAGTCTAACGTTAACGCTATGTCAGAAATGGTAAGTAATAATGATATGATTGTCATGAAAAACTTTTTCTTTGAAATACAGCTCGCTTAAACTGGTAGAAGGAAACGACAAAATTGTTGACAAGCTGCTTCACAAACATTGCAGGAACTTTAAAAATGTTCCGATAAGTGATAGAAAATTCTGAGACATTATCCAAAAATTAGGGCTCATCAGGGAAGCATGAAGGTGGTTCGATCAGCTCCTGGAAAACTGCAGAAACTTTTTCGAGGTTCTATAAAGGTGAGAAAACTGCAGAGAAATCTAGACAACTTGAGGGAAATCTTAAACACTTTATAGAAGTTAAAATAACCTCAGGGAAGCCAAGTCTAGCGATCTTCACGGAACTCAGAGAAGTTTAAACTTCAGAAAAATTTCGAGAAACTTTCAACAGTAGAAAAAAAGATCTGAAAATTTCAGGGAAGCCATAGGAAATCTTCAGAAATATTTAGGAATTTTACAGAATTCTTAAAAAAATTCAGAAAAGTTTAAAGATTTTTAGAAGAGTTCCATTTACTTAAGAGCAATAGCAAGAACTTAACGAGAATTAAGAATAGGATAGCTTCATGAACATCAGAGAAGACCAAAGATCCTCAGGGTGGTTAAATTAACTTTACAGCAGTTCTGAGAAACTCTGGGAATTTCCGAAAACTTCGAAAATGTGATGGCTAATTTCACGTTAAGTCTCATTCGAATTTTCCAATAAACCTGAAAATCCCACATTTTAAAAATTCATCGTAGAATAAAGATGTTTGCGTCAAATAATAGTAGTAGTTGTAACATTACGTTTATTTTCCATTGATTATGAATTTACATTGTTCATACATTATAAGTTGATTAGCCTGAAGGGCTCTTCATATTTGTTTAATTTGTTATTTTTTTTTTTTTTAATAAGTAAGTTTTATTGGTCAGTTCATTTGATAATAGTATTTACAATTTGTTATTCTAGATCTAGGTGAAATTTCAGTGCATCTACATCAATTCTATCGTTACAGTCACAAACAAAGCAAATGTATTTAATAAAAAACTCTAAGCACTTCCACACGCCTTCTTCTGTCTATTCCTGCTAGGACAGGTATCACCAAGTCTTCAAAAGAGAGTCGTCTCCATCCATTCATAATGCCTGCTGTAGAACCGTCCAAGCCGGGCCGACACGAGTACAAGCACAAAATTTATGGAGAAGAGTTTCAGCCGTTTGATTGCTACAATGTGTGCAGTTTTCGTCCGGTACTCGCTGCATTACGAACAGTAGTTTTCGGTGCTCGATTTTACCATTCACGAGCATGTAGAGTTTCGATCGCTGCGTTGAAGAGAGCTGCTTCGCAGCAATGTTTCGCCACGTGCGTGGCCAGTCGTTTTGTGGACTGTTCCGTTCCACCTTTGGCAGTTCGATTTGCTGGACAAAATACTGATGGATTTGATCGGCGGAGGGGTTATATTGGATTTGGAGATTGGATAGGATTAATTTGATGTCGGGAAGATCTATAGAAATTGCTGGGCGGGGATTATCGTGGAAAAGAAGGGATCTATAGTAAGGTAGGGAATCTATCTCTCGCAAATGTCGGTGGATGGTGAGCGACTTACACTTAAACACCGGTAATTGCAGCTTCAGTCCACCATGCTCCCGGCTGCGCGCCAGTTGTAACAATGGTACCCGGGCGACTATCCCACTCCACAGGAAGGTGCCCATCCTTGACGTAATTTTCGCTATGTGTACGCCTAGTGGTGGTAGAATGGATGAAAGGTACCAAATCCTAGATGTTCCAAACGTATTCAGCACAGTCACCTTCTGAAGTAGGGTCAGGGTTCGAGACGACTGGAGCCACATCAGTTGCGCAAACTTGCCAACCAACCGCCGCATTCCAATTCAGCGTCGTCATCAACCGAATCGAGTTTGCAAAAATCACTCCCAGGATCTTCACCGTGCTGGCTGTTTGCAGCCACTGGACGTCGATTTGATTTCCCTCGCAATATCCAACGTCAATGGCAACAGTTTTGCGTACATTCAACTTGGCGCCGGCGGCTATTTCGAAACGCGTGAATAGCCCATGAATCGAATCGATTTGTGCAGTTGATGTGACGATCACACTGATGTCGTCCGCATATGCCACCAGCAGAATAAGCCCACATGTTTGTTCAAGTCTGCACACAAGCGGATGAAGGTACAACACGAAGAGGTGCATCGACAACGGGTCCCCCTGCCGCACCGAGCGCTGGATGTCGATCGGCCGTGAGAGATGCCCGTTCACGAGCAGTCGAGAGGTGGAGCGGGAAGTGATCTCGGAGAGCAAAGTGACGAGATGCTGGTTGAAGCCGAGCGAGCGCATGGTTTCGAAAAGGAATGAGTGCCGGACCCGATCGAAAGCGTGATCTAAGTCGAAGCTGATGAGTTTCCCGGCGCGGCGATGATGACGGAGACTAGCTATCCGATCTTTGAGAGCGAGAGTTGCCTGGAAGATATTTCGCTCTGAGTTTGAACATTTCTGCCCGTCGCTTAGTATGTGGTGCGCTCGCATCACACCCTCCAGCCGGGTTTTGAGAATGCGAGAGAATATTTTGTAGTCCGTGTTTAGAAGCGATATAGGACGATACGAGCGGGCTGTGTCGTCGCCACCCTTCTTCTTGACCAATACAATGATACCGTCTACAAACGTTGCAGGAATGTTGCCAGTGAGCGCTTCGTTCATCACCAGATTGAGTTCTCGGTGGATGACGTCGAACATGCGGTAGTATAGTTCTTTCGGGAGACCATCACAGCCGGGGGATTTACGGGATGCGCTGGCCCGTATTGCAGCGAGAATCTCTGACGTGGTGATCTCACTCGAGCAAGCTTCATTTAACTCGTCGTTGGGTGGTATGGCATTCTCGCAGACGAACGTGTTCTCATCATCTGCTCTCTCTTCTTCCGAGTATAGGCGGGAAAAGTAATTCACCATGTGCGCCTCGATCGCGTGAGGATCATCAATGGTGTCGTGCTGCATGGTTTGTAACCGGGTAATGACGGTTCGCT